GAAGATAAATGGACTTCGAAGAGTGGAGTGAGAAGCTTGTAAATGTGGTACAATAGTATATACATATATATATATATATATATATATATATATATATATATATATACCAACTTGAGAACAATCATGGTGCCAAAGCAAGTATCCTACTCGATCTCGTCTAGGAAAATTCCCTGGCCCTTACCTAGCTAAGTTTCAATTATAGAGCACCAAAGCGATGGTGATAATCTCATTTTAGTGGAAAGACAGGTTTGCACACATCCTGTTGCCTTCATAAGACATGTGGGTTCGCGTCGCAGAAAGACTGCGTAGCAGTCAAAAATCCACCAAGACCACAAGTATGGCCGTTAATCGTTTATGGCAGCTTATTCGGTGAAACAATGGTCATCTATTCACGACAAACAACCCAAGTGGCCGTTTTTTTCTATCCGCGACCTTTATATGTGCCCGGTAGCGTACGGCTCGGTTAGCCTTCAGCGGAACGATGTTTCACCCTTAAAGGACGCTCTTAATAAGCCCTACTCCGACAATAAGCCCTAGTTAAGAACCTCCGCTTTCCCGTGATTCCGTAAAGTAGAAGGAACATGAGGCCTCTGGACAGGTCACGACAATCGAAACGGTTGGGGACACACATACTGTGTTTAAAACCAGATGAAACGAGGATGCAAGATAACAAAATGTGTGCATTCCACACACGAACTATTGCGTGAAGTAAGCGCAGTAGGGTTTGCCTGACTTGTTTTGTGGTTGGAACTCACTAGACCATACTGTTCAGTTGGAGTAAACAACTCACATCAGTCATCCCAAGGTGAGTGGAAGTCGTCTCTACCTTGCGGACAGAAGAACATATCACATTATACTTAGCGTAGAAATGAGTTCCAGTTTCCAGATTCTTGATATGACAATCCACATCATCATCATCATCATCGTACAGCGAAATATAGTGATGCGAGCTCCACTGAACGCTGCCAAATGTGCATTGGGGTTTGATGGACGGGTACTGCTAGGGTGTCCAGCCGCTAAGCAGGACAGCGATTAGGGTTCTCGTCCAAAGCCTTTAGTTCTAACAAGAACCTAACCGCAACGCGGGTGAAGTGAAGTAGAGGCCCATTTACTTGGACCGATTATTCCTCCACCATTTTTCACCAACTGAAACGCAAATTCCAGTTGGACTCCCAACCTGGAGGAGACTGAACTTCGTCTGACCTCTACCCATTGATCTTCCAGGCATGATTAGATATCCTGGCTTGGTAAAAGCCATCCTGTATAGCTCGTTGGGTCACAGAGACGCACAGGCCATCACACCACGTCAGGGTGCAGTCTCGTCGTGACAAACCTTTTAGGGACCATTTGGGCATAGATAACATAGGAATAAAATGGAAGGGGGATCATGTTGAAGAGAAACGCCCAATGATGAGATCGTTTTTTACTTTCGAACAGGAAATAACTAGCTACATAAATTAAATGACATCCTACAGATTTCCACTGTCTGCAACAAAAGCGCATCAGAATTAAGAGTGTTCTAACAGAAAATCTAGGCTAAAACATCGGCTTTTTATTACACACTTTCGTGTGATTAACAGGTGTCGGGGTAAAGGCCAGTCACGAGGACCTGCTGTTCAGTGATGGGAACCGGTAACCTAAGCACCGGCACTTGGAGTGGTATTGAACCGGACGACAGTAAAGTTGCCTACCACCAAACTACAGATCAGTCAATGATCGATCGATGTCGCGCTAGTGATTCCATCAGCCATGTATTGGTTAGTGTGATATGTTATTGCTGTAGTGAGTGCACACTGCAAAACTGTGGTTAAATCTAGTGAGTACATTGTAGGGGAATGTCTGCATGCTTTGCATTCTATTCTTTACTTTATTTAGGGTTTCCAGCCCTAGTGTGATTGAGATCGTGAGCTCTCTCTGGTCCATTCATCAGATAGGTCAAGTACGTATGGAACCAGGGCGACTAATGAGATTGGAATCACGTTCAACACCAGTCACGTGCGAACAGTCACATACCGACGGAATTGGAGCTTGAAGAACGTCTGGGCCAAAACGATCTATAATCTGTTGTAACTTGCTTTTTCACTCAGATTGGCCGTATGTGATAAGCAATCTTTACCGAAACGTTGGGAGAATGGTCTAGTACAGTGAATAGGTACAACAAACTGTAAAAGCATTCAGATGAGACCGATTGGAGCATCAGCGATATAATTTGGGATTACTTACATTCAGACTGATCACACATTGTATATCTGTCAGCCAACGATCCGTAGCACACAAAAAATCCTAAATTGTACACTGCTGATGACTAGCTGCAAACGGCCTACCTAGATAAGCCAAGTCCCAGCAGTTGACTCATGACCAAAGATTATTTTTATCGTGTGCCACACACCCCGTATGTGTGCTAACATTTACATTTCAAATACCGATCCATTAAATATTGCGTAGCGTGACTTGTGGATAAAAATGGTGCACTCCACATGAAACTGGTAGATAATCCTAGTACAGAAAACAATGCCAGCAATACAGAAGAAGGGATGTCCTGAGAAACGTGCCCATAGCGCAAGGTCGTCGCTATTGCTATTATTATTACTACTATATTACACATGCGCTTGGTTGCTTAGAATACCCAAACTCTGTAACAAACCTTCCTCAGAGCACAATGACGAAAAGAGAAACTGGGATTAGAAAATGAAATTTATTACTTTCTGCTGATAAATGAGAACAGTATACGAAAAGCAATCGATCATCCTATCGAGTTTCCACGCTTGTCATCAAATCACATACACACAAGCACCCAGCACCCGTTCGTAGGTGTACACGTTACGCGGTTGAACAGTTCACAAGACAATCGCAAAATGAACACTACGGTGTCTGAGACGCCACACTCCGAACAGACTGTGCCCGATATCCCAAAACAAGCCCAGGTCAAGGGATCGAAAACAGAGTGCAGCACAGAAGTCACGGTGTTGAGTGAGCGGCAAGATTCTGTCAACTTATGCACTCCGATGGCTCACACACAGAGCAAGGTTCGGGACAGAGGGCACGGAGTGGAAGCACAATCCCAAAGAGAGCCGTGCAGGTGCGAGGCTTTGATGTCATGTCCGTAGCAGAAAGACAACAAACGAACGTGCCGAACCAACGGCGGGGGGCGTAAGTGGACGGGCATGTAGACGACAGAGCGCGTGGGCGAAGTTGGGTCAGCAAGAGAGAGATAGACGGGGAGAGACAGACAGAGCGAACGGTCTACGCTAAAAGGAGCCCGAGAGAAACTCAGCTGATTAACCGAGTGAAAGTGGATAGGATCGAGACGGCCAGTGAGTGACTGCTTTTGTCTGGGAAGGCAGAGAGACGGGTGGGTGAGTAAATGTTAGAGATGGACGCAGCAAATGGATTGATGACAAGATGAGAAATCGAGCGTCTGAGTGTGCAATAAAGTGAATGAGCCAGACACAGGAGCGAGAGACAGATGGATGAATGTCTCGCACAAGTTCGTTCGTAAAGGAGTAAATTCGGACACAGAAGTCAACCGTGTGGAAGAACGAGGATGTGATGTTGATCAGGCAAATTGGTTCACCATGACCGCAGGAAGTTCTGTATTCTTATTTTTTTGTTTCTGACTATGGTTCGCTGGAAGAATACCTACATCGTGGGGAAGCGGAAAAAGAGGGACATGGAGTAGTGGACACAAGTGACACCGTACCGGTACTCAATCGCACACACCCGCAATCAATGGTGTGAATGACACTCACGCGTGGCGCTGGCTGGCAGTTGCCGATCCGATCCGATCCGGTGTTCTGAGGGGATGGACAAACCAACTGAACAAGCTGTTTCGGACAAAAATACGGGAGTTAGACTGAGATAATGGTTGCGTGTATGTGCGAATAAATCTATGCCTGCCACGGAAGTCCGACCCAATGTAGAGTTCCGACAAGGAAAAAGTCAACGACCGCACAAGAAAACAGAAAGAACTGAATTCTAAGTGCGATCGTGGAAGCAACAAGAAAGGAAAGAATTGATCATCAAATGAGGGATGGGACAGAATCTCGTTCGGAAGACAAGGAACAATTGCACACATACGTCAAGAAGGCTAGGTAACACGGTCGGCACGCTCCGGTACACAGATCGGTTGACTGGTGAAAGCAATATTGGTAGGGGGGATGTGAATGACCGATAGGAAGAACGACGCCATGAAATTAGAAATAAACGAGAACAGACTGGACAGACCGGAGAGAGTTGAAACTGAAAATCACCGCACAAGGTGGTCAATGCTATCAGAGTAATGAACATTCAGGGTCCGAGCGCGTGCAGCATAGAAAAACAGTTCTTGTTGTTGTTGTGTGTGCGAGTGTGGATTCGGATAGGGATTAGGCATTTGGCAACCTCAACCCCATAAGGCTGTGGTCCAGAACGAGAAAAATCGAGAAAAGGTAAAGATGGTTTGCGATGGCTTGTGAAACTGCCATGCGAAGGCTTGAGGTGATGATGAGGATCTCGACAAGTAGTGCGAGCATGGACGGATTGCACAATTTTGGGAGTGAAGAGAGAAAGATAACGAAGAATAGACCACATAGAAGTGGGCAAGCTGAAGAGAGGAAGGGGATCGGATTCAGACCACACGGTCCACCGGCACAGTGACACACAAAGTAAGTGACGGTTCGTGAATCTTCACAGCGAACTGGATCAGGAAAAAATGAGGAAGGTAGAAATGCTACAGTGGGAGCCGATGGGATCGCAGTACAAGTGACTGTGATGGTGGTGGTGGCGGTGGTGGCGACGGCAGCGAGGATAGGAGATGGTCAGGAGGCAACATTATCAGCAACGACAGTGACAAACAGGTAGCGGCCAATTACATCTACGCATGCTTAATGGTAGCTTTTGACAAGTGGACAGACTGATTGGTTGGCCGAATGCGCTGACCTTGTGGACGAATCTGCTGGCATGCAACACACGTCACGTGTGATGCTACAGGGCAGATTGCCCGAGGACACGCCAATCGCACGTTAACGACCGCAATCGGAGCACATGATCATATCATCACTAGTCAGGAAGCCCCGACCAACAAGGTTGCAATTGCATTTGCCACAAAGGAAGCATTCCGAATGCCAATGACGATCCTCAAAAGATATAAACTTGCAGCCACCAAATCCTGTTCCAATGTGAATCGCGGAAGGGGGTGAAGGAGAACGGAAAGCGATTAGGTGAAGTGAACGCAAGCTAAATTGGAAAGGAATATGAAAATATTCAATTCGGAATGATAAAAGCAGAACTGCTGACGAGAAATGAAATCGAAATAAAGCTTATAGGGGGGCTTCCGGATAATTAACTCGACGGCTTTGAATCCCAAGTCAAATACCACTCGAAAAACAGGAAGTAATCTTACTTTCATATTTTCTAAATGAACTTATACGTTTTCATTAATATGAAAAGTATATTTAGTCTGACATCGTGCCACTCAAGTCTTCGATGAGTCTCTCACTACTGAATAGGAACACCGCAACCCTTGCTCAATTATATGGAAAATTTGCAAAGCGGTCGTGACTTAGTCCACGGAGTCGGAGTCAACTTTAAGCCGGAGCGAGATAGAATAAGTATTCATTACAAAAAAACCCAATGTCTCGTGGGAAACTGCGACAAAACACTGATATTTATATTGATAGGATCCCGAGGCTCCTACTGAAATTGGAGTACGACCCCATCTTGATCAGCGGACTCAGACTCAGGTAGTGCTAAGCTTCCGGAATTGGAAATGCGTAACCAACTTAATCAATGTCTAACCGAACTGTGCCGTAAGTGAGCACTGCAAGCAGTGGCGCTCATTGCTACATTACTTGCTTGCCAAAGCTTCATTTTTATCAGGTTTCTCACTCGGCTATTTACTTCTTCCTCATTGGCCGGAAAACCCGTAGGTTATTCGTTAAGCAAACCGAATTACTCCGCTGTCATTGCAGTGGTTTTAAAATCCACAGATATTGGACTTAAAGCATCAGGACTCCATCAGTGTATAAGCGGATCCTCCACGGTGATCGCCAAGGTGACTGGTATCAAACCTATTTAACTACACACAGAGCAAAAATAGCCAAACCATTGCCATGAGCATGTGGTTCAGAAACGTAAGCCACCATAATGAGCCCTGGAGCCTGGATTGGAGAACCTCTGAAGACCAAACGACACTGGAGGCGTCTGTCACCAGCAACAGTGGGCAAATTTAGGACACTGCCAAATGCCGGTGGCTTATATGGAAGCAATGGGCGTGACCATTCCTACCTAAACAAATAGAAAAACAACTGATAAAAGCAGTTACCCGTTAAGCATTTCCTTCTTAATAACCGTGTGCCTTCAGAAACGATGCCACAGTGGGTGAGTTCAAAACGAACGAATTGAGACAGCTATGTACCATATACGAAATCGTGTAGGTAACACTTACCGGTAATTGGTTTGCTGCATTTTGTGCATTTCTTCGCAAACAACTCGCCATAGCAGTCGGCACAATAGGGCTGTTCGTCTTTCGAGGTAAATTTGAGACCAGCTAGTTGTTTCGTACAATTTGTGCACGTGAAACATTCCTTATGCCATGGATTTCCTTTGTATGTTACACCACCACGACGAATGACCTACGGGAGTAAAGAAACCAATATCAAAGTCAAAGTTCAAAGTTTTATTATGGGTATTACTTACAAGCAGATGCTTTTCTTGTCCCATAGGGTGTTAACACGAATTGAATTGTAACAGTGATGTTTGTGTTCAGATCAGATAAAACAGATCGATGGCAAAAACTGTGCTCATCGGTGGAAATTGCAAATATCTGCAGATCAGTAGATGAAGAAGTAAACATCCAAGTGATGATCAGGATTCGGCACTTACTATGAGCTGCAACCTAAGAATTTCCTGTTACACTTGGTTTGCATCATAGCAAAGTACGAATAAGAAACATTTAATTCAGTCAGTATTCACAGACATATAGTAGTAAACGTTAAAAAAACTCTTCAGTAATGATCACAAACACTCAATGATTCTGAGGGTCGGAATACATCTCACATTTGCTCAATCGATGTGAAAAATGGCAACCGATTTAACTCAGCTCGATAGCCCACATTTATCTGAACCTAAATTCTAAAGTTGGATGAACAAAAATCTCACGATGATTGGACAAAACGCACATAAAAATGGAACTTGAGTGTCTGTTCTGAAAAATAGCACTACCAATTAGTCTATGTTTGTGACTTTTGAGTACCAGAATCACTTAACAGAAACAGTCAGTCGTTCGAGTTTTGACATCGAACCGATTCAAGACGGATGTTACACTTCTTCACCTCTCCCTAGACCATGACAACTAGCCATGAACGCTCCCGAAGAGCCCTGAGGAAAAAAGTAATACGGCTACTGGACAGGCTATCCACCTTCTTTCACTCCGTTCTGTATCCCAATCAAACTATCTCGTTTCTGCTACTATTGTTGTGGCGTTGGCACCATGCTTGCCCGCTAGCCGGTGTCATATAGACATATATATAGGCTAATTGGTGCGATACATGGGAAAGCCACTGTTAATTATTTTATTCAGTGCATAGACCAGATTGTTTAGAAAAGATGCCCAGTGGTGTCGGGTCACCGACATCACCAGAGCAGGTGAGATGTTCTCAATCGGTTGATCATAAAAAATCTCACAATCTGCCAAGAGAAATGGAAAATCATCGTGCGATAGCTGAAAACGCCCCAGCACATAAATTTTGAATGATGACAAAAAGAAACATTCAAAATTCCTCTACAATTCCGAAAACTCAGACGGGAAAAGAGCAAATCAGATAACAGCAAACAGGAATAACTAATATCTTGGAGAACAATTACCTCAGCACATTTGGTGCAACGCTGCGCGTATTTCGCTTCGTAGCACGGAACACAGACAACCTGATTCTCTCGGGGAATGAAACTCTTGGCTCCAATGGGTTGTTTACATTCGACACACAGGAAACATTCCTCATGCCACTGTTGACCCCGATACTCGTACTTACGCATGCCGGCTTTGAATACACCCTGGCAACCATCACATCGTGCGGCGAAACGCTCGTCATAGCAATCGGAACAGTACAATTGTTCTTCTTTGGTCGCGAATGGACGATCAGCCAGCGAGGTGGCACAAGCGGAACACTTGAAACATTTTTCGTGCCAATGTCGTTCCTTGAATGATAAATCCTAGAAAATAAATCAGATAAAAAGGCGAATCCTGATTAACTGAGTGTATAGAACTAGGATGAGACAGCCCGCACTGCTTTCTTATAGTGAGGAAATTTTTTTGAGTAACTCACAATCAATATGTGTGTAGTAAAAAGAACGACATTTACAAACAGTGAACAACACGTATGCAAAGGACTTCTTATCCCGAGATATATGGGGTTACAACGAAGAGGCATGAGTGACGAGAAAGACTGATCGGATTCGGTGACTATTCTGTATCCGCCAGTTCAGAGTGGACCGAACGATGAGGCACGTGAATGAAATACCGAGGTGAGTAGAAAACGAAAGCAAACCGAATAGTCACACAAGTGTGAGTTCTCCGATTGCCCGACCCGGTTTATCGGATAATAGACACAGACAATCGGAGAGACATGCGCTTCATGCAATAAGGATGATCCACCTTGAGTGCCAACGGAAACGCCATCATGTGGCAAAAGCCGTGTATTCGGAGCGCCAACTGGGCGATCAATGCAACAGAATTCGTAGGAATGGAACAACCAGTGAGAGTAATCTGGATGAATAACATCCTCACGCGTAACTCATGCCTAGAAACAATAATTCTGACAACAATAGAAGTATAAATAAAATCCCAATGAGGTGAAAATTGGATCAAAAACGAACAAGGAAAAACATGTCCTTTCGTCAAGTGCAACACTCAGACATGAAAAGCAACGTCGCGTTGTCTAAATTACAGCGATCAGCCACTATCAGCCATGACAATAAACAAAGACAATGAATGACTAAAGCTTGTCCCAATTGTGAACACATAGTGACCGGTGATTTGGTATCGCAATCTATCAGCCGTCAAACAAAGCTCGGTGCAGGATATAATGTGATCAGACTACATAAAAAACCGTTGATGTTAGATCACGATAGCTATATGTATGTGACAACAATGGTTATAGCGTAACAACGAGAGAGAGAGAGAGAAGACGTAACAGGAAAACTGAGATCCGACGATAATATTTGTTCCAAGAACGTGGTGCTCGGAGAAGTGGATGAAGAGAAAACGGATAAAATAGATCATCAAATTTCCAGATGAACACGTAAACGGATGCAGAGATATATGGATAGATAAAACTCAGATAGAGATAGATAGGTGGACGAAATGAGACGGACGAACAGAGAAGACAGTCAGATGTTCACCTGCCTCGATGGAATCACACTGTCATGCCGGACCGAATGGACAAGCAGTACGAAGATGACAAAAAGGGCGGAGTGCGATGAGGCGGGAAACTAACTTTGGACGGACAGGGTGATGACTTATGATCTACCGGACATTTTCGCGATGTGTCTAACATGAGCGAAGTGATGCCCGAGCTAGTTTGATTTGGATCCTACGCACGAGATAGAGAAATCGAGAGGGAACAGGAGAGGAGATGCGATTCAACATACGGCCAGCCGATCAAAGCGAGACCAACAGTCCACGAGGCACAGCAAGGCAAGAATCACACAATCATACACACAGACGTATACAGGGAGGTAGTGAAAAGTGATGCGTCGGGTAGGGAGTTTAGGTGGTGTAGGTTCGATGCAAGAGAGAGAGCAGAAAACAGAACAAGGTATGAGCGGCAGCGATCGTGGATTTGAATTGATCGGTTGATTGTTCGACGGACAAACATTGAGGTGGACTAGTCATTCACTATCGAGAACCATACGATGCCAGAATGGGAGTTAAAAAACCTACTTATCACACTATATAACGGGACTGATTATTCCAATTTGATCGATGAACACGGGAGTGTAAAAATTCAACGACGAAGAATTGCAGAGAATCGGACAGTGAAGGGTATTCATCCATTGTTCGTGTTAATAAAACACAACCAGCTCTATCAAACATGCCGAATAAGCTAAGCTGCATATCCTACTCCTCTTATCAACCCGCTGTGATTTCTAACTACAGTAAAATTTCTGTGTGCATCGTAGAGAATTTACGTTCTAGTACCTGCTCAGTTCATCTGTCCACCCGGGCACAAATGCGAATAGAATAGAATAGCTGACTTCAGTTAGGGTAATATGATAACTAGGATACATATAAGCGAGAATGAAGATGTAGTTGGACAGCAAAAGCTAAAGAACATGACCGCGACGCTCTGACGGAACAACAATGTCGAGGCTAACAGTGAGGTGAGGGGCGAATGGTTTAATAACGCGGACAAGTTTGCACTACACCGGAGACACGGATGAAGCGAGTCGTTTTGTTTGCCGCTGGTCAAAAACATTCCTGCAACTGATGAGCATCGAAAATAAAATGCATTTTTTTACTACATTAAATGAATCGCAATTAGAAGCGACTGACAAACACACAACACATCACCCAATAGTCCCATTAATGCAAAAAATTCGGCTTGACGAGACTAGACACCAGGTCACCGATCCGCGTGTTCAGAAGAGACTTTCGTGAAAACGAGCACAGACAAATGGCAACAATACGCTATTAAGGTATAATAACATTTCCGACGGGAACAAGCACACCCCGATTAGCCAAAGCAATACAAACACACGCAAGCGGCACAGGCGAACTGTTAACGGACCATGCGATGAGCATGCCATTGTTGTTGCAACACAGCACATGTCCAACAGGGAATAATTACGGTTGCATCTTCAACAGAAATGACCACAAAGAAATCGGCATTCAATCGGACTATTAAACTCTGTGGTCTCGAATTATACCTCGAAAAGAGAAACCTAAACCTCGAAGTATTTTAGCTATATCAAAGGCTATGAGTTGCGTGATTTATTTAGTGTCAACTATGCCGAGATGACTAACAGCTAAATTATGCACAGAGGAAATTTGGGATCAACTCACCTTGGAGTCACAACCGATTTTTTCTTTACACTGCTCGCATGTGTTTGCAAATTTGGCCTCATAACAGCCCAGGCAGTGCGGTTCGTCATCACGTAGAATATAGCGCTGACCGGTTAGGGATGCATCACAGGAGCGACAAGCGAAATGTCCGGTGTGGTGTTCCTGATCCATGGCACGAGTGTATTCCTCGGAGAAAATAAGCTATCCGATTTTCAAGGAAAATCGGAAAATTAGTGTGAGCCTATATCCCAAATGTTAAGCACACAAACGCATGTACGTACACGCACATACACAAAGTGAACCAAATGCGAGCATCCAGCGATCACGCCGAGACTATGAATAAAGAAGACATTAGGACACGAGGAGCAAATACATATTCCCAACCCAAACGAATTAAATGCACCTTAGGTTTCTTAGTAAATGTGATAATACGGGAGCAAGATAAGACGCGTGATACAAGAATCGGGAACTCAAAAAGGAAAGTACTTTGAGTGTGGATCAGAAAACTCGGCGAAAAACGCAAATTAACCACTTTTTCGATCGCTCTCAACCTCGCTACAACTCGATTCTAACCGCAAACCAACTGTCCAAACTTGCACCAGTGAACTCTCAATTGTAAAGCAATATTTAACTCTGCGTGCGACTGGACGAACCACTAATAAAAGTACATCGGAGTTTCGGAACACGCTTTCACGGCACGTTGTTATAAATCATTTTTGAGCGAAAGGCAAAAATGCTGTGGATGAGTTGCTAGGTCCAGAGTAATAGCCCACGATACACGTACTCGTACAGTTTTCTTTTCTAACGTAAATAATCACAACACAGTTTGGCCGTTAGAATGATTTTGGTCAACACAATCAACAACACAAAAATATCCGTTAATACCGTATCCTTATTCGCAGGAGTGATGACCGATGCACGTGAGCCACACGAATGATGCGTGAGTAGATGCGATCCGTGAAACTTTGTGGATCAGTGAATGAACTTACCGAAAACGAGTATTCACGGGACTTGGGGCACGGGAGAATCAGAAATTCATAAAATTAACACGCGGCTGTACGTCCAAAGTGATTGTAGGACCACTGTGCGTAGGTGTATACGTGTAAGGGCGTGCGTGGTTCGGCAATACCGAATTATGATGCGACTACCCTGGGGGAGAACACGTTGCCCGGGCGTGGGCTGACCGAATATCTAAGATACCGTACAGCTTACGGCCTTAAGGGCGTGCGTCCATAGATGTGTCTCGCACAGGATTGGTTGATTGAGAGGAAGCTGTGATTGGGCGCATGTGTGTGCGACTGTATACTGGGTTATCCCCGAGCGCCAATAAAAACATGGAGTAACACTCACACACACTGACACATAAGCCGCCTTAGAGACAAACAGAGGAAGAGAGAAAACCAGACATACGAAATTGAACGGACAGGCCCATGAAACGACAAGCACGAGACACGTCAGACGATAGACAATGAACCCCACTTCGTTTTGTTTGTGTAGATAAACAAACAGGCGTGTGCATGTGTAGTGAACCACACCGTTTCTACGATCCGGCATACAGGTGAAAATGTTTGCGAACACACTAATATCGTACTGGACGAAGTTAAACCCGGCAATTGGTACTGCAGGTATCCGCAGTCAGTGGACAAAATCATAGGTAGTGAAGATAACTCACGTTGAGTGCGTGCGCGCGACTAAGGTCACCAGTATGGTGATACAACCAGCCATTTATTGGGCACGACATACGCTTTAACTGAGTTGAAGATAGTACCTGCGCGCACCTGCAATAAGACAAGCGGTTCCATTGGATGTTTCATTTCCATTGATTGGGTGTGAAAAGATGACGGAAACGAGACTCAGAATGACCCTGGAGACCAGTAAACACGAGGTTAAGGATGACCGTAGGAATTTTCAACTTAAGCCTCAATGGTAGAACCCAGTTGCCAAAGAATGACGATCTCGATAGTTGATAACGGAAAATAGTACACTAGTATGCCACTTGATTCTACTGGAACCCGAAAGGACAGTAATCTAGAAATAAGGATCTTAGAGGGAGGACGAACATTGTTTGAGATGGACATGAGAACCAAACATACACTAGGTCGTGTATGTGACTTTGTGCTAACGATAAAACGTTCTATTTAATCTAAACAACCATCAATTCCTATCAGCCTTGTTCTCATAAAAATATTAAGGAATCACTCATATCATTACTTACTTATGAATAATCTGACCCACAAGCTCAACAGCCAGGATCGATATTACAGATCATGAGAAACCGAAACCACGATATTAGTTTGGAAAGTCTGATGCAAGTATGAATATCATCAAGTTCCACCACGTTCACTATTAACGGAGTCCAAACTAAACTGTTTTATTATTTACCTACATTTTACTAAATGTAAAATGAAGTTTTCATGAAGCCAGAAGCGGAAAACCAACTGGGAACCGAGTAGTACAACCACAAGAGAAATCTGAGCGGCGGTGGTGTTGTTTGAACACGACCTTCGAGATGATATGATGGTGACCTAAATTACATGATCCCAGCCATCCATCATTGCAGAAACCAAACATGTTCTGTACCTCAGATCCAGAATTCTTCTTCGACTCCGAAAGCCTCAGTATGGTCGGGGGTGGGTGTCTAGAGTTGTAGCTAGTCACCATTCCTCTGCACCTCGCGAAATACTCCCATACGACCAAGCGTCCCAAATAGCCTCTGCTGAGGAACCCCTATTCACTGCCTTCTCGTGGCGGTGTTTTTCCACCAAAGTGAGAGGACGAAAAGCCAATATTCGGGGCTATAACCGGGTTGGTGGAGAATCGGTAGTTCACCTAAGGGAGTTGGTTAAAAGCCCTGATTTCAAACCAATCAAAAGGAGGCGTACGAACCACACCCACACCTTTTCAGTTGTGGCAATGGTCACCAGCTCGATTGTGCATCAAGCGTCTCAAACAGCCTCTGCTAACCGAAGGCTCCGGTTGTGGATTCCTCAAGAAAATTGATGTGCCTTGGTCTGGGCAACCGGGCAGTATTCAGCCTACATGCAAATCGTGGAAGGTTTTTTTCTTTTTGATAACGATTATTGTATCACGATTTGTTTGGCACACAGTCTCACCTCAAACTTCTGTGAAATATGATAATATATAGAATTCTTCTGGAGGAATCTGCTCATTCCCCAATCTCGTTTTTATCGGAAAAGTTCACACGATAGGACATCTTCCATTGGTCCGTATTAGAAGCCAGTATCAAATAAACGTGAACCACTGTGGGGTCTATTTGAAATCAAGAGGGTTGAAAGAAGATCAGGGGGACGACAATCATGTATCTCAATCAATACTGAAGGAAACATAGTCGTTGTTGTTGCTCGCGACTGCACATTCACTTTTTCATGTGATTTTCGAAATGCATGCTACAATTCATGGGTTAAGCATACCAGGGGATTACAGCAACTGGACCAATCAGCATCAAGTGTATAATATAACAGAGACATCATCGTACAGTCAACGATAAAGATACAAAATTCATTTTTCACCACTATGCTCGCATTGACTTTGAAGTAGACCACAATGGTTACGGTTGTATTTCAGGTGTTCAACGGAAAAATACCAATTCCCATCACATTGGTTTGAAGCGTTACTACTCATGAGTAGGTGCATGCAATTCAACGAAAATAGTCTTACGTGGTCGCAGGTTGCACAACGAGGTCGGATAAGTTGACCGTAGTGCCTTAGACAGTACGGCCGACCATTAGACCAAGCATAGCAATGGTCAACTAAGTGATCAGCACAAGTTGCACATCTGAAGCATCCTAAATGCCAGGCGGGTGCCAGATCGCTGGAATCGCTAGATGGCGTCGTTCCGATAGCTTCCAGAGTACGATGTTCTGGTCTCACACGGATGCAGAAATCACCAAAACCAATGGTACCGAGGCAGTCGGCACATGGCTGAAATTAAAGAAAAACCATGTAAACATGAATCGATGGTTCTAAAAATCGTGTTCATTAAACTAATATTAACGGCAATAGTCGAAACCGAGCATCGAGTGGGTTTAGGTGTATAACAAAAAATGCGCTCATTCCATCTAAGGAATCAAAGAATCAGTACTTGAAACTTTGTATTACTGTATATGTGCATAATGAGGGTAGAGTGAGTTGCGCTGAGCTGGATAAAAAACCTTACTTTATCTTCTCGGCTTGAGGACAAACCGTAAAACTTGCTAAGTGAATGAAATGAAAAATACTGGCCTTAATTAGCCATTGCAGACAACTCAATGTTCCGTCTAAATGCCAATTAGAAACTGAGCGTAAAACCAGAAAAGTCAGAACAAAGAATTGGAAAGTTACCTGACCGGCACTTTGACTCATATGCTCAACCATACCGATACCGAAATCACGTCGATTACGCGAATTCTTAAACCGATTCGCTTCACGGAGCTCACTTTCCAGACTGTGGCTGGCATCGGGAAGCTGGGAGCTGGCACGATGTGCCCATGCTTCTTCTACTGCGACAGCCGGTCGGCGATCTTGTGGGGGAATTTGTTTACGCAAACGTCGTCGACGAGCGCGTTCTGCAGCATCACCACGTGGAATTTCCGCAGACGGCAAGCTTGTAAGAAAACTCTCAACCTGAAAACGAGTGTTTAAAAATAATGCAGTTAAGCACTTCAGAACAAGTGGTGAAACGCTAAAGATAGAGAAAACTACCATCCAAGTTGGAAGAACTGAATGGCAAACAGTGTGCATCGACAATCATCCACTTCAAATCAAACAGGTAGCGTAATACGTTAGCATTGAATGAATAGCTAAAGCAACTCTGGACAGCCAAACTTTTGAATACAGTGCGAGTCACAGTTCGATCGTTGTTTTGATTGAAATGCACAGTTCACAATTTCTGGTAAAAGCAAATCATTCGAATAAATTTGTTACGCTAGTTTGGCATAATTAAATTGACAGTATCTAAACTTATAATACAAATAATAAAGTTCCTGGGTGGAAATTATTAACGCATTCGTTAACAAAACTGGTTTAGGGGATGTTTTCGATTGAAGTAAACTTCCAACCGTCGTTAATGTCGGGCTAACAACTGCTAAATTGTCCTTCAAGCTGATAATATCTGAATAAACACTAATTCGTAATGCAAGTCAGTCAAGATGAGAGCTGGTTAACATCATGGGTAACAAATACCTATCAAAGGAGGGTTCCGAAGTTAGATTTCCGGATCAGTAGGTAGATATGCACCATTTATGAGCTCCATCGAAGTGTAAAGTCTTACTAGAAAATTGACAAGAGGTTATACCTATCCTTACGCTCATTACTGATCAGCGCGTATCCGTAAGCCCCCGGTGGCTTTCGCTAACCTACGTTACTTGGGGTGCCGGCGAGATCTCAGTTTCAGCTGTGTTTACAATGTCTTACTCGACGGCTGCGACAGTTGGCTCTTTCACGCAGATGTATTTTCACACACGTCTGAAATCAGACTGTGTGCCCAATCATGGTACAATAATCTTTATGAAGAAAAACGTTCTATGATTTGCATGTGGGCGGAATACTGCCAGGTGGCCCAGGCCAAGGCAGGTGAATTTTCATGCAGAAAACATAAAAAATTGCCTTTGACCACCGTTACATTTGTTGCATCGTCAGAATATTGGCAACAGCGAGTCATGAACGATGAGGTTCGCTGAAGAATCTTCGCCTCAGCAAATCTCAGTCGTTCTCTGAGTGCCGTTATCTCGCTCCAGACTTCGGTGGCTGGGATGTGTTGCGGATGTCGCTTCAACGATTGCTTACTTTACTTTACTACGGCTGGCTTCTTCATGATCATGATCATGAAGTTACTTGGGAGTTTCGTACGAGAGACGGCGCCAGCGTCATTCGGCGTTTTTTATGTTGAGGGCGTACCTCTAGGCTTNNNCTTTGCACAAACAAGTGCGAACTGCAAGGCAGCAGGTTCAACGACTGCCCCATCGTGTTGTTTGCGCAAGGCGACACTAACTGTAAGTGGCGATAAGGTGGACAAAGGAAAACCTGGGCGTTAACCTTAAAACTGGTAGTAGTGGACGCTTTAGGCTCCCAGTTTGGGGTGCCAAATACAGCGAGCATCTATGGCTTCAGACACTGGCCAACACGGTTGGTAACCGGCGTCAACGGCGCATCTCTTTCTCATATGTTGTGGCACACTAGTGAATTCTCATTATACATATATATATATATATATATATATATATATACACA